GTGGTCTTGGCACAACTAGTTTAGTTATTTATTGTCTGCAAGAAGTCCTGGGTTCGAATCCCCACCATCCCATTTGAATTTTTTTATTTAGTAGAGATTGAAAAAATCACAAGTTGTGGGAGTAGTGGTTCGAACACAGATAATAAATAGTTCACTAAATTTGGCACAACATCTACACCACTCAACTGCAACTCTTCTTTTTGAAACAATAATATATTGACAATGTTTTACTCATTGAACGCTAAAAATCCTCAATAACTTTAAACAACCATAACTTTGTGCTCCAAAATCCGAACGTTATGAATTTTTATTTTCATTTCGCATAACTTTTTAATGACTACAATTTTTACTAGGAATGAATTTTCAAAATAGGAATTATTTTTGGATATATAGGGTTTTGGGAATAGCTTACCTTCCCTTTTCACAAATCCACATACATTTCGAAATTATGTCTATGATAAAAGTCGGAGTCCTTAAAAAGTTATGCGGAATGAAAAAAAAAATTCATGACGTTCGAATTTTGGAGCACAAAGTTATGACCGTCCAAATTTTGATGAAATCAATAAAAAGACTCGTTCGGGGTAGCAAACGACATTTTTCGGATACGCGAACACAAAGATACGTTCGTTTGAAATATCCACCTAGGTTAGAATTTTTGAAAAATAATAAAAAAGAGACCAAAACCGCCGAGTAAGGCAGCGGTTTTGGACAGTACCGGTTCGACCGCTATTTTTGGAAAAATCCCCATTTTCGCGCTAGTAGAATTTACCTAATCTAAGTTATAAGTATTAGGATATGCCTATGGGGACTTACAAGTCACCGTGACTTGGAGAAAACGATCCACCTCTTCTACAAAGCGGTCGGCCACTTTTCAAGAAAATGTTCTATCTTTATCACAAAGCCGTCAACCATTTTCCAAGAAAATGGTGTACCGCTTCCACCAAGTTGTCACCGCTTCATGCAGGCAGTCAACCTGATAACTTTCAACTTACACACGCTTGTTGGAAAAGGTAGACCGCTTCCGCCAATAGTGTACCAATTTCGGAAAACGGTCTACCTCTTCCATTGAACGGTCTACCACTTCTAGTTAATGCTCAATGAAACAATTACCTTCTACTTATATTAGAAAAATAACGGGCAATAGGAGGTATACAATATGAAATTATTTTGTAGTAATGCAACATCCTATCACCCTTGAGAAACCAAATCTCTATGCAGATTATAGGTCTAGCCAAAAAGAAATACCAGTCTCTTGCAACACTATTGAAATAAAATTATAAAACCATATAAATCAAGAGGATATGAGATTTATGGGTGTTGAAGATGACGCAATTGTATAACAATTATACTATACTTTTTAGGTATCTTCATAGCAACAATAGCAACATAGTTGATCGATCACACGACAACTATAGGATAAAAACAAGCAAACTTAGATTTTGAGGAAAATTGTCGATCTTTTATTTCTCCATTTTACGAAGTATTCTCTTTCTTCCTCATCCTTGAATCATCCATCTTCCAAATTACCTTCCGGATATGGAATACACCATGAGTCTAGTACGAAGAAAACCCATCTTCTACTGTCATCGATGAAAAACTCATCATTGAACATGATCATAATTCTATAGACCTTATCCGTTTTTTTGTAAAGAGAGGTTCGAGCCATCGTACCAGATAATACTCTTTTCGATTGTTAGGACTTTATGGGACGAGGGTACATGTACGATAGCCGAGACTGGGTGACTAGGATTGTGATAGAGTCATGAACTATGTTCACTTTCCAAAAAGAATATTTCCACCCTTCATAGAAGCATTGGGTTACAGGAAATTTCTCCCGAGGATAAAACTATTACCACTTTAGGTTCTAGGCTCAAGAACACTAAAACATACTTAGAAACTTTTTGGAAGAAAGAAGAAGAATATGTTTGATGGTATGTGCATCATCCACCTCACACATATTTATAGGGGCTGAATCCATGCATTGTTTCATGAAAGGTTGCATTTATCCATAAGAAAGGTTGTCCTTATTCATATGGAAGGTTGCCTTTATCCACAAGTTTCATCCTTATCCATAAAAAATGCAACCGCCACTAGGCCAAAGGGATGTGTCCCTTCATGGAATTAGAAAGTTGGTTCAGTCGGTCTAATCCCAAACTAGTTGGCTGGTCCAACCCAAAAGCCAGTTTAACTTGGTTAGTCCAGTTCAACCAAATATCCAACATAATTATCCCCCCATAACTGGACTGCATCTTCTATAAATTCAGACCAACCCCTCTGTGTTTTTCTAACTCAAGATTTAGGGGTCATTTGCTTCAAGAATTTGCATCATAGATTTGGTACCAAAAAAACAACCATCATGGATTTACACACAATCCGTTGTTTGCTTTGTCAAAAAAATATTTAGATAAATCTGTGGGCCCCACGGATTTGGGGTTTTTTTTTGCTCCAAATCGATGGGCCCCACGGCTTTATAAATCTCACCTCATACCCTGGGATTTGGAGACAGGCTGAAAAACCATGCCCACCTCATCAAATCCATGATAAAAATACCTCAACAAACAAAGGATTTCCTCAAATCCATAATGCCCAAAATCCCTAATAAATCCCAAGGTTTTCAATTAGCAAATCCATGACAAAACCCTCGTTATAAAATCCTTGAAACAAACGACCCCTTAGAGATACCAAACTCTGCCAAACTTTTGGAAGAAAATCAAGACAATGTGGTTCTCACCAATTCATTACGTTCGTTGTTTTTAGAGTTTGTGGTACCGCTGCATTAAAAAGGTAAGTACATCATCACGAACAATGGCTTTGTCTTATGGTAATATTACTAGCACTGAATCTAGAGGTCTCAAGTTCGAATTCCTTACATAGTATCTAAATAACAAAAAATAAACTTATATCACCATTAAAAAAAAGTAAGTCATCATTTCTAGACTAATTATTATGTAACATTGGATACCCGAGAAGAATAATGTTCCTTAAAGATAAACAATGTATTTTATCAGCTAAGATGTTGCATGTATTTACAATTCATAACAAGCTACTGCCTAATGGGCAGGCAGGGCAGCACTTTAGCATGCTAGCGCGATTGGTTACTAACTCGTGTATATGGAATGGAAATACACATGGGAATTTGGGTTCAAAGGGGTTGGGATTTGGGAAGAACCCATTTGGCGACACTACATTACTTTATTTTTTATTTATTTGGTTTCGTCGAGACGTGATGGCTAGTGGCTAGTGGCTACTACGTACCCTTATGGAATTAACCGTTCAATTGGATGTTGAGCGTCGCAACAAGCAGGCCAATATTCTTCTATACTAGTGCCCAATTCCTCATATAATCTACAATATAATATGCATTAGCGACCGGACTGCCGACGAGTAAGTCCGTCCAAACACAACCCCGCTCTGCCGGAGCCACTAACCAGCCGTCCGTCGCATTAAACTAATAATTATTATTGTTAAGAAGCATCTACCACCACTAATATAGAAACTCCAACTAGGGATGGCAATGGGTCGGGTTGGGTCGGGTTTTGCCAAACCCAAATCTATGGTTATATCCGTGAAAAAAACCCGGGGTAAAACCCATTGGGTTTGAAAAACTCAAACCCAACCCAACCCGCTGGGTATCCGCGGGTTCATGGGTACCCACGGGTTTTTGTCGTAAAAAATTCACAATAATAAATTCCTATCAAAATTAAAGTCAAATATCAATCTCTCAATATAAATTATCCATATATAAAACACCATTCTAGAAAATTCAAGCAAATCACAAACTAACTACACAAATTGTTCAACACCAATCTAAAAAACTCAAGAAAATTGAAGCAAATCACAAATTATCCATAAATAACATGATTAAACTTCTTCCTTTCAATTAAGTTTTTCACTCTCCACTCAATAACATCAACTTCTTCTACATAACTAGAAAGAAAAAATTAGACACGTCTCCACAAACATAAATAAGATTAGTTGTTTAGAATATTAAATATGTCGAGAAAGTTAATTATATGGGGGTGGGCGGGTACCCATGGGTCGGGTTTACCTAAACCCAAACCCAACCCAACCCGGTGAATAGTGAACGGGTTTAAACTCAAACCCGGCCCAAAACCCGTCAACACGGATTTTACCCGCGTTGACCGGGTTGGGTCAGGTAGGTACCCGTGAGTTCGGGTTTTATTGCCATCCCTGACTCCAACTACATGCATTACAGAAACGAGACCAATGATTATATACAAGTATGAAAGGAACAATACAAAACCAAGTCAAAGAAAAGAAACCTAGTGGGAGGACAACTGGGGGAAAAGCATGATGTTACATTTTAGCCACTATATTATGTCACTTAAACAAATACATCGCGAAATTATAAACTTTAACAAATATATCGATGTACAGTATTCCTTGAGTATTGTGTCAAGTATACGTTGGAAATTTTATCCTACTCAAAGTTACTCTCGAATCTCATGATCTCAGTTTTCCAATCCAATGCTCACATACTCAAATTATTAAACATCACAGGAGGTGTGATATACAATTTAATAAATATATGCATCATTAACAAACCAACTCATAAGATATAGATCGATTTTCTCGTAAGTCGTAATCAAGTTGACTCACTAGTTACAATGTTGAGACATCTCATGAGCTCAAAATGAGATAGTTCATGAGTCGAACTCAACAAGCCACCTAATCGAGCTAGTTCACGAGTCTTACAAGCCGAACAAAGTTAAGTTCAAGCTCGGCTCGTTAATAAATGAATCGAACTTTTATCGAATTGAACTAATTTTTATCGAGTTCGAAACTATATTGTTCGCGAATAGGTTGGTTCATTAACAGCTACTTTTGAGTGATTTTGTTTTGTTTAAAATTATCATGCAGTAGCGTATTTGTTGAAATGGCATATTGCAGGCACTAAAAATATAATTAGCCGACAAGGTAATCTGCTGTACTAGTACTATTATCTAAAGAAACCCTAGAAAAAGATCAGTTATTTTATCGGCATTCGGCAAAGACGGCAACCGGTGCTGCCTCTGAGTCACAGCCGGCCCTTCACTCGCTCGCATCCCGTGACGACAACACGCGCCCCCGTCTCCCTGATCCCAACCAACAGAATAAACAACAAGCCGTCCCCCAGCAAACCCCAGACTCCTCAACCCCCAATTGTTTTCACTTCGTCGGAAATTCCAAATCCCCAAACCCTAAGCAAAGGTCAAAAGGTCACCAAGTCAGCCCCCAAAAGCTGCAATTCCGATTTCCCGGCGTCGGAATTTCAATTTTTCACTTTAGGGCAAGCAAAAAAAGCCGCGAGAGTTTGGGGGAAACTTTCCTAGAAATTTTCCGGAGAGTTTATCGGAAGGAAGGAAGGAGAGAGAAGGTCGGCGGAAATGGCGTCGTCGAAGGTGATGGCGTCGTCGAAGCCGAAGAATTCGGATCTGGCTTCAACGTCGTCGTCCTCTTCAGCTTCACGATCCCGTCGCTTTTCCTCCTCTTCTTCCTCTGCTACTAAACACCGCTCTTCCGATCACTCAACGACCATCCGGCCGCTCAACGTCGGCAACTCCTCTTCCTCCAACATGACCGTCGACGGAATGCTGCGCAACGTCTACTCCGCTCCCTCGTCGGATTCCACGCTCCTCGACGCTCAGGTAACCCTAATGGACGCTGCGACACCTCCTCCTCCTCTCCCTCCTCCTTCTCTCGCCGCGGCCATTGAATCCAGCCACCATGCCAACGGCAGTAACGATCAGGAAATGGCAATTGCTGTTGCACCCACGCCGCCGGGGAGTAATAAGACGGTTGACGACATGTGGAGGGAGATTGTTTCCGGGAGGAAGGAATTGAAGGAGGAACCCGACGAGATGATGACTCTAGAGGATTTCCTCGCCAAGGCCGGTGCGGTGGAGGTCGGCGACGATGACGATGAGGTGAAGATGCCGCAGCTAGCTTCAGAGAGACTGAGTGGGGGAGTGTTCGCGTTTGATCCGGTGCCAGTGCCGCCGAATGCTATCCATATGCTGGATAAGGTTGAAGGGTCGATCGTCGGGTTCGGGAATGGAGTGGAGGTGGCTCCCTCCGGCGGGGGATTAGTTGTGGGGAGAGGCAAGAGAGGTAGAGCGCCAGTTTTGGAGCAATTGGATAAGGCTGCGCAGCAGAGGCAGAGGAGGATGATCAAGAATCGGGAGTCAGCTGCCAGGTCCAGGGAGAGGAAACAGGTAGACTGAAGTTTAACATTCATCTGTTTTAGTCTTGATTGGTAGTCATTTTGATTCTGTGCTGCGTACTAATTCAATTTGGGGATTTCGTTTATGCACTTTTGGTGGTTTCAGGCTTATCAAGTCGAATTGGAGTCTTTGGCAGTGAAGCTAGAAGAGGAAAATGAGCAGCTGCTGAGGGAGAAGGTACTCGTATTGGATGTCTAATCGACTTTTCCTGATTTTGAATCTATGATATTCTGGGCACTGGGGACTGTTTTTGTGTTCACTCTCATACGGTGCTTTTAATAAAAGATTTGGAACATTCACTTAAGTGTGAATCTGGTATTATCCATAGGAAGTAATCAAGCTTGAGTCGGGTCAAATCCTGTAACTTGGAGCCTTTGGGCATCATTAGTGCTATGTCTTGAATTTGAAATCCGAAGATACCTCTTTTTGAACTTGTTTTGAATGGAAAGCCATCATGATGTTTCACCCAATTGTGGATGCTTCTCTCATGTCTGATAACTGGATTTTGTGGTGCAGGAAGAGCTTACAAAGGAAAGGTTAAAGCAGGTATGTAAGCTATCTTTGATTACTCATCTTTAATCAACATCAAGATTGCCTTAATTTGAATTGGTGGAGTACTTGGCACTGCTAGTTCAGTATAGAAATAGAAAACGAAGAATCAGCTTTTTGATAATGCCTTAGAGATGGGGTTTTTAGTTATGATGATCTTGGTATCAGCTACTTGTATTTTGTGGTTAGGCATTACGAGTGCCTCTTCTAGTAGCTTCTTAGTATAAATAGATATGCTTAGTAGTCAACAGTGCATAGCAGTTTGAATTTTCCTTCTTAAGTTCTCAATTTGTGATGCTGCATCATTCTGCAGCTTGAAGCAGTTGCCAGTATAGTGTTCACCTATCCTCCCCCTTTCGTGGTATCAATTAGGTAGTTGGATGTACTGTTGCATGATTCGGTTATTTTTATATAGAGGGAAATGCAAGGAGTTCCAAATGTCGTGCCATATCACATATGATTTCACAAAAGCATAGACCTGTCAGCATCAGTTGGCCTTTGCAATATATCCCAAAGATATGGGCAATGCAATAGAATGGAGTAGAACTTGAATTGTAGACTTCCCCTCATAATATGGTTAAAAAATGAAGTTGAAATAAGACATTTCAATGCAACACTCTGTAGTTCACTGCAGGTCTCTTTTCTTTTAACTAATTGAATTCAGTATGTTCTGGACTCTTTTAGCAATTACCAGGCAGTGGTCTTTTCCACTTTGCTTACTAGTGAATTAGGAATGCCTGTACCTTGAATTTCTCTGGCTTAATTTGACTTCCTTGTGGAAGAGATGCAATATCGTCCTGTTCTTTACAAGCATCTAGTTTGAAGTGGGTTGAATTGATTGGCATGTCTTGTTGTTTTGTACGGCGAGTGTTTGACTATTGCTGGAAATTCCTTGTACTGTACTAAACTGCACCAAGTCCAGAACCAACTAAACCTACCCATGTGGACTAGGAATTTGAAGATGATTTTAGTGGTTGTAGGCAACACAAAGTGTCTTCTTTTGCTCTTATTGTGACCAATGCTAAACTTAAAAGACCTTTCTGTGGATCTCGTCTTCACTGTATACTTATCTTGAACTTGAAAAGTGCTTTCATGCATACATGATACACGGCTACAGTTTTAGTAACTAGTCAGCTACTTCTTCGTTTTCCTATGGCGCATAAAGGTGGAATCATATTCCATGTACCTGTGTGGAAGTGTCCTATAGTTTTAACTGAGCTAGCAGCATTTCACCAGTTTTCGTTGGTGATTTTGATTGTTCAAGAGCCCATACAAATACGCTATGCAAATTGTATCCTTGTTGATTACCTTGTTATTCTTGATGAATCCTGCAGCTTATGGAGAAAGTGGTTCCTGTGGTGGAAAGGCGAAAACCGCCACGCACGCTGCGCAGAGTTCGGTCCTGGGTGTGGTAGGTACCAATGTAGTTAGCATTGTAAGGTCTCTGAACTTGGGAGAAGCACCCTCCTTTGACCGAGGAGGTACAGTAAAAATAGAGCCGCAACACTTTAGGATCGACTTGATTCTATATTACTTATAAATTTGAATGTGATGGGGATCTGACATTACTCAAGCTTTTGGAGTATATATATAAAGTAGTAATATATAGAGAGAGGGTGTGAGGTAGATAAGATAGTGAAGGGGGGTTTTGACCCAAACCAGCAAGGGGAATTTCAAACACCCGTAGAGTTGCAGCAGGAGCAGGGGCGGGTGAAGACGTGGATGATGAACAACATCATGAGGCAGCAATGCAAACTGCAGGTCATCACTTGATTTTGTGTAGCAAACTAAGCTGGAGAAGAAGAGAAGAAAGAAGCATTAGTATTTTGATATAGCCTCTGAGAGTCGGAGTTATATTGCTCTCCTACTTTACTTTACTGCACTGCACTGGTTGTGAGGTAGGGAAATAGGAGAAATGGGGGGAGCTTTAGATGGGTTTTGAACTGTGATTTTATTTATTTATTTCTATACTGGCGAGTTTGTGAAGAAGCCCTTACATGGCCATGGCTGATCGATCAATCGATTCGCTTTGTTTCTCTTTCAATTGCTTTCTATTCACGTCATTGCAGTTTCCTTTGTAATTGAAGCTCAAATCCTTTTAGGGGTAGTTTCAATGAGGGTTTTAATGTGATACATTCTTGTCACGAGCAAAATAATGCATTTGATAAGTCCTCTATTCGTGTAAAATTTTGAAAAATACTATTTTGAAATCATACATGGTTCGTCTTTTTATTCTAAAAATGACTTTAACACAATTACATATCTTTTGGCAATCGAAACGAGAAATTTTGTTTATTTTTCATTTTGTTTTCTATTTGTTTCTAACTATGAAAACAGAAAGTGGCAACTTCCTGCTATTTTCGAAAACGATAAAATGTTGTTTTCACCTGTTTTCAACATCTATTTTCTAAAAACAAAAAAACAGAAATGAAAATAAACAACATACAATAATATTCAAGGCTAGTGATATTATCTATAGGCCAAGTGCTTATTTAATACACCTTTTTTTGTTCGTCTCTTTGCTGTATATCTTTCTTCCTCCAATTTTTTCTTCTCTTGCTCTGTATCTTTCTTCCTCCAATTTTTGCTTCCGTTTTCTAGGTTTTGTTCAAATCAGAAAAAATGTGATGCCAATCAATATGGGTTAATTGCAAGGATGGTCACTGGATTTACTAAAACCGTTCATGTTTGGTCACTGCAAATATTTAATTCCATTCATGGTCACTAAGATTAGTTCAATAGTTCAAGTTTGGTCACTCTCCGTTAGTCTCCGTTAGTTTTTGCTGATGTGGCAGTCAACTATTATAGTTGACCGTTAAATGAGTGACGTGACCATTAAAAAAATAATAAAATAATAAAATTTAAATATTTACAATTTCCACCTCATTTTACAACTATTAAAAAATAAAAATAAAACTTACCTCCGCCATCTACGCTATTTAATCCAAACTAATAGCAACATAAACCTCTATAAATTAACTAATCATCTACACTAATAGTTAGTTGTCCGTCTAAAAACTGTACAATACCAATTCTTGCGGCTTACAGAAAAGCTAAAACTTCCAAAACCAATTATTCCACTTCCGAAATAAATATAACCAAATTCCCATTTGCCATTATTAGCAAACAAAACCCAAAGTTACGTTAGTCCAAAATCCAACACAACACAACCATAGACGACCAATGCTTCCATTGATGTTTCGGGCGGCGGCTCTGAGCAAGAAGCCCGCCGCTGCTGCAGCTTCGATTTGGTCCCTTCGATTTGGTTCCTTCATAGGGCATTGCTACTGAAAACCAGCAGAAATCAGCATTACCATTATAAAGTCAACGTAAGCTCCACAGAAACCATCAAACCATCAAACCTGATTTTCCTCCGCCACGGTCGACGGCGACATGAACCATGCGTCCCTGGCTCAATTTCTCAGGCGACGACTCAAAATCAACTCGCTCCAGCAATTCCTCCCTTTCCCCGCCCATCTCATCACCTCCTCGGACCACCTCGAATCGGCGCCGCAGATCGCCTTCAGGGCCACCGCTTTCCCCTGCGGCGGGCTAGCCATCGGTGTTTGCTCGTTGCACAAGATCATAGATGGCATCACTTTGGCCGATTTCATGAAACTCTGGTCCGCCGTCGCCAGGAGCGAGGAGAAAACGGCATGTCCCTGCAGTAGGCGCAGAGGATTTTGTGGGCAAACAGGGGAAGATGCTGACGAGAGATAATAATATTTAAATTTTATTATTTTATTATTTTTTTAATGGCCACGTCACTCATTTAACGGTCAACTATAATAGTTGACTCTTGACTGCCACATCAGCAAAAACTAACGGAGACTAACGGAGAGTGACCAAACTTGAACTATTGAACTAATCTTAGTGACCATGAATGGAATTAAATATTTGCAGTGACCAAACATGAACAGTTTTAGTAAACCCAGTGACCATTCTTGCAATTAACCCCAATCAATATCTCTATTACTTGTGAGAGCCAACAATCGATTGAAATGAGCACTCACACTTTGCGCGCTCCGGTGCTCCTCTCCTCCTTCCAAACCTCATTGATCCTATACCGATCTCCTCGGCAATCCTCCAACCATCCCCACGTTGAATTGTCTCACGTTTGCAATCCACCTAACCACCTGCTCTATATCGTTTTCTCGTGCACGTGAGATTAACGTAACATAATAAATGAGAAAGAGATAAAAGAATTGAGAATAGAAATAGGGATTTGAGGTAGAAATAACAGAATTGAGAATTAGATTTGAAGAGGAAATTAGAGATCAAAAAGAGGAATGGTGGATGGCCTTATGGAACGAAGGGACGAAATTGAGAAAAAGAGAGACTAGGGTTTGTGATACTTTTATAATTAATCTTTGCTGTTAATTAACGTAATATCCAAATTACATTTATATAGGCTATAGAGTATAGACCTAAAAACCCAATAATAATCTTAAACTATTCGACCCCTTTCTTGGCCACCTAACACTAACACTAGTAATACTATTAATAAAAAGGGTTTAAGACACATTTGGTCACTGACATTACTAAATCGGGACATGTTTAGTCACTAAAAAAAGTTAATATCAAATTTGGTCACTATAATTACTAAAACAGGACACAATTAGTCACTCACCGTTAGTTGTCGTCCAACTCCGTTAAAATAGTCTGTTATGTGCTGACATGGCTAACAGAATCGCCTAGTCAGCATTGTTTTGGACCAGATATGGTCAAACCCGACCCGCCACGTCACTAAATCCAACCCAACCCATTAACCCAACCGGACCCAGAACCAAAGTCGATCCAGTTAACAAAACAAAATTGGAAAATCATTCGGGTTAGTGGCATTTTCAGACCCGAAACCCTTCTCCTTCCTCTAGAAGCTCTGCTCCTTCAATTTCATCTACCATTTTTCGATAGAACACATCAAAGAGCAGAGAGAGATGGAGCCAGCCACTCTACCCCTTGATCCCCTTGTCCCAGATCCTTCGTCGAAGTCTACTTCTTCTTAGTCGCGCGCCGGCTTTAGTTCCCCCATCGCAGCAGACAAAGAAACCCTAAGATCCACCTGCGAATCCGCTCTGTACTTCTTCTTCGTCGCACTTCCCCCCATCACAGAAGTGGACGAAACCCTAAATCGATTCCCCCATAGCGCTGGCGTCAGTTTCCCGTCTCCTGTTGTCCTGGTAGAGGCACTGACCGGAGCGACAGGATGAGACGTCGAGGGTGGCACACTCCGGTGAGCTGGAGAAGAGCGGGGAGTAGGAGGAGGAGGAAGGCTGGTTGAAGATCGGGTCTGTTTGTTGAGCCAGGCCCGGGAGAAGTACTCCCCGCTGCCCTGGTTCGACCCGGATGTGACGGAAGTCGATAAATCGGACTGAGAGAGGAAATGGGGGGAGTCGGAATCAAGTAGAGGGGTGAGGTCGGAGTAAGAGAAGAGGAGCTTGGTGGAGATGGACGGGGCAGAGTCGCGGCGGAGCCTGGCGGAGGTGAGAGATTTGTAGTCCGGGTGGTTGAATCTGATGACCGATCATCTTGAGAGGAGGTCGAGGGATGATGGGGGGAGACGTTGAGCTTGATGGGGCAAGAAGAAGCTTGTCCTTTGGGTTCTTGTTCGGTGAAGGTAGTGGATTGAGGGTCGAAAGAGAGGATGTGGTGAGCTCGGTGGAGTGAAACGGAATGGGCGGATTTGCCGGCGATGTGAAATGGAAGGGGGAGAAGTGGAGAGGCGTGGTAGAGATGGAGAATAGGGTCGGGTTTGGTTATGGGTCCGGTTGGGTTAGTGGATTGGGTTGGAACAATGACGTGGCAGGTTTACTGACGTGGCGGGTCGGGTTTGACCATATCTGGTCCAAAACAATGCTGATTAGGCGATTCTGTTAGCCATGTTAGCACATAACGGACTCTTTTAACGGAGTTGGACGGCAACTAACGGCGAGTGACTAAATATGTCCTGTTTTAGTAATTATAGTGACCAAATTTGATATTAACTTTTTTTAGTGACTAAACATGTCCTGATTTAGTAATGTCAGTAACCAAATGTGTCTTTAACCCTTAATAAAAATATTAATGAAATTAGTTTCTAGTAATTCTCTTCTGTTGAAAGCGATCTTGCCCTTAAATTTGCAATCAACTTCAACCGTGCTGACCTTCCCCACTTCTAATGTCGTACCTCGAAGTCATCTTAATGGTTGTTTGTGCTTCCAAAACTTCCAATTGCGTTCGGGAACACCAACAAACTAGCGTGGCTCCAACCAGTTGGCCGGAGGAAGGTGAGATATGAAATTTGATAATATAATGGAGTGTATAGCTTATTGTTCTATAGTTTTTTTTTTTTGGAAAACACGTGATAAAAATAGTGAATTTTAGCAGGAAAGAGACATGAATGATGCGACGAATCAAAATTCAGCCTTATGAACCAAAATCAAGTATTTGTTACCTTGTGAAACAATATTGTTTCTGGTAATATGATGAGGTGGAGTAAGTTTTATAGAAACCGAATTCCAGAAAATCAAATAAAAAATTGCCTATCCCGCAGGTTTTCGGTAAATAAGCATCTCACAATCGTTGCTTGCTTTTACTCTTAATTTGCTTTATAAAACTTTCATCTTGTCGTCATTGTGCTTTCTGGTTTTTGCCAGGCCACGATTAAATCTAAAGAAATCAAGAGCGAACAACACAATTTGGGATAGGAACCGTCATTCCTGTATCCCTAGAAAATGGTGGTAAACATGGACTACCTACCAAACTGGTTTGGATTGAGATTTTTATCAGGTATCACGGAACCATGTGATCATAAATTAGATTTGATCAGAACGGGTCAAAACTTGAAATTCAGCATGTTTGACCGACCCATGCCAAACTCTAATTATTTTTTACTTTTAAACTTTAAACTTTCTATTTGAAAATAAAAAATACTGAAAGAAAAGAGATGATTGCAATTCGCCATTTGCACATCACTAATTGGGGAATAAAACCATAGAAATTCGAAAGGAAACGGAAAATGTTTAGGATCATTTTAATGTAAAAAATAATCAAATAGATCTTTCTGTTTAGTTTTTTACTAAAAAATACCAAACGATTCCCTATAAAATACAATATAATTTAA